GTTATGATTGCAATGTCAAAAACCTATTTTTATTTTTATTCAATATTAAATAAATTGATTTATATGCTAGTAAAGCAGTTGACCAGCAACGATAGCTGAAGGCAACGGTTGATCGTGGTCAAAGTTGTGGTTGTAGGTCGTGGGCGGTGACCCACTACAAAAAATTTGGATTTTTCGCAGCATATGTTAGGAGCGGTTTTAGAAACGCTGTCAAAACCATCTTTTAGCATCGGTTTTAGCCGCTGCTAATTAAACCGGTTTTAACCGGTGCAATAGCTAGCGATTCGCAATTGCTACCCCACCGGTCATAAAACCGCTGCGGAATGTCATTGGCGCATAGTAAATATAGCGTATTTGGAGCAGTTTTAGAATCACTGCAAAGAAAATTGTGGCAGTTAAAACCACCGTGAAAGCTCAAAATTTGTGCTGCGATTACCTTATTTTTTGGTAGTGTGATTACTGGAAGTGGTGGTTGACAGATCTCAATGATATTGGTTGGTTGGCAATGGCAGAAATAGCAGCCATAGATAGTGGTTAGTAGCAATTTATCATGCTAATTTTTGCTAATTATGTCAAATTTTAATGCTGATTTGAGGAATTTAAATAATATTTCTTGTTTTTATGTTGAACCATGCTTTAACTAATTAAAGTGGAAGGCCTTTTTGTCATTGCTAGTTATGGTTATCAATTTTCCATGCCATTTGATAGATTAGAGGTTCAATGAATTGTGTGTATTATGTAATATGTGTGTAATATTCTTAATTATTTTATGGGTGCAAATGAAAGATAGGTTTAATGGTTGATATTTATTATTGAGATGTTGATCCATGCTTTACCCAAGTAAATAATAAATATCAAAGGCATAAGTAGCCAAAATTAGCATAATTTTTTTAACCATAATTAGCAAAGGCTACAAGTCCCTCCACTATAGAAAAATTATTCCTTACTGGCAGATTTTCCGGCTGCTTTCCAACTTGATGGGCCCTCGGAGATTGCAGGAGGTTTCTCAATCCCGCTCGGGCTAAATAATTTTTTTAGCAATTTTCTGCTGAAAATCCACCGGAAAACCGCCAAAAATATTTCCATCAGAAATATTCCGATTGTGTTTGTTTTCCGATGCTTGAATTATCATCGAACAGTCGTCAAAAATATAAATTTTTTAAGGATTTTATTCATTTTCTGACGGAAAATGGCCGCCGGAAAATGATATTTTTCCTATAGTGCTCTACTTGGTTTAATTAGTTGAAGGATGGTTCAACATCAAAACAGTAAATAACATTACATTCCCTCTAATCATATTTGAAATAGTCGACAATAATATGTTTTTAATTAAATGTGCAATTGTGGAAAAATATAAATTCGAGGCTCAGAAAATAAAAATAAATGTAAATCAACCATGCCAGTTGCTGTGAAATTGAAAGATCAATTAGGGATAAATATTAGTTATTCTTCAAAAACCATTATATTCACTTGGAAAAGTCTAATTAGGAGATGTTTCATTTGAAGTAAATTTGGTATAAAATATTTCAAATGCAAGAGGTTTGAGAATATTAATATTTGGTTTGAAGTAATATATGCAATGTAAAATTTTAATGTATTTGAAATGCACCATCTAGTATAAATTAGATGTATTTGAAATTCATCCAATTTAGACGATTTTCAAGTACAATATAAATTTATCATCATTTTCTGTGAGTTGCCACCCACCTTCGACTGTCATCTGTTGTGAGCTACCACCACTGCCCACCTTCGGCCGTCACAACCCACATTGCCGCCACTCACTTTTAGTTGCTATTGCCACCCACCACTACCACTGCCACCGCCACCACCACTATCTCTAGCCATCGGCCACTACTATCATCACCCAACACCGACCACAACCACCCCAATCAACGTCATCATTGACAACCACTTGCCACTATTGGTTTTCGTCATTTGCTACCAACACCCCCATGGCCAACCACTAATGCCATTACCAGCCCCCAAACACCACTGCATTTAAATTTTATACTTCATTCATTTTACTTCAAGCTAAATAAAAGAAAGTAATTACCTGCATTTATTTGACACTAATTCAAATATCTCCAAAGCATTTCAAATATAATGTATTCCTTTTGCATTGCATTTCTTTTCAACCAACCAAAGACTACCACCTGTTTCATTTTTCTCTTTATTTTTACAAACTTAGCCAATCCTTCATTGGAGTGGTAATGAATAATGATCAAGTGATTGTTCATAGACTATTTTAAGCTAATTAATGGTTCAAAAATCGCATTGCACTTCATTGCTTTGAATAATATATTGTTATAAGAGTACATATATATTGGCAATAGAAGACTGAATTAAAGGAAAAGACAATCAATGAAAATATCCATATTAATGATCATATATTACTATAATAAATACTATAGATTCATACTATAAATATTAGATATTATAATATTTATTACCATATTATAATATTTATATGGTAATGAATAATTCTAATAACTCTATCAAAAAAAAAAAGTTAGGAATGTAAATATCGTCCCATAAAAATTTAATAGGAATTATTGATTTTACATCTTCAATTGATTGTGAATGAAAACTATGTCAAACTTTAATTTCTTAAAGCAAAATAATTCTCATTATTTCAAATTTTAACCACAAAATAAGGACAATATAAGCCAATCCAAACAAGAAGAACAAAACAAAAGGGATAAACTTAGCCAAAGTTTTTCCCCATTTCTTCATGTAACATGGAAAATTAAGAAGAAGAAGAGGTTTCAAAGATTTCTTTATTTTTTTGCGGAGGTAAGGGAGGTCAGAGAAAAACTTTTAGAGTGAAGCTATTAATAAAACAGTGGTTAAGAACAATGTTTGATAAATTAACCTCTAAAGCTTATTAATTAATGAAAAATGTCAAAGAATTTTAACAAATTTCATATTGGTCCTTTTTCTTTTTATAAATTACTCTTTAGGTTAACAGTTCATCTTGATGATCCACAAACATGACATTCCTCTTAGTCAGACTAATCTCTCTAAAGTAATATAACACTATTAGGAATTGCATAAACCTTTATATAATCAAGATCAATAGCTCTCATTACCTTTTAAACCCCATATGAAAGAATCTCAAAATGAGATCATTCAACTTAATTATGCGAGAGACTCGGCAACCAGCATTACTGCATTAGACAATAAGAGAATGTTCTTCTCCCTCGAGGCCCACCACTACTCGAAGGTGTTCATCCTAAATATCTTCATACAAATACTCATATTCCTCGGTCAATGATGCATCCCCATCATGTTAAGACAACGAACTTGCTGATACATTAAGCTCTACATATCCTTCATGGATCGTTTAATAAGCATTTGAATACCTTAAAGATACCATAATTTGGTGATCTTGGGCTCATTGGATTCATCTCATTAAATTTCTCTATTCAGCTATAAGCATGTCATGTTTGGAAATCTTTGATCATCCAATTTATGGTTTGAACTTTCCAAATGCACTGCGGGTTTTCGATTTGGACCCATTTGGTTTCGGATTGAAACAAATTTGGTGTCGTTGGGTTTGTATTTTCGAGACATTCAATATTTCTCTACCGTCGCAAATACTCGTGGACACAACAATAGGAATTATTGATTTTACATCTTCAATTGATTGTGAATGAAAACTATGTCAAACTTTAATTTCTTAAAGCAAAATAATCCTCATTATTTCAAATTTTAACCACAAAATAAGCACAATATAAGCCAATCCAAACAAGAAGAAGAAAACAAAAGGGATAAACCTAGCCAAAGTTTTTTCCCATTTCTTCATGAAACATGGAAAATTAAGAAGAAGAGAGGTGTCAATGATTTCTTGAATTTTTTGAGGTAAGAGAGGTTAGAGAAAAACTTTTAGAGTGAAGCTATCAATAAAAAAGTGGTTAGCAACAATGTTTGATAAATTAACCTCTAAAGCTTATTAATTAATGAAAAATGTCAAAGGATTTTAACAAATTTCATATGGGTCCTTTTTCTTTTTAGAAATTACTATTTAGGTTAATAGTCCATCTTGATGATCCACAAACATGACATTCCTCTTAGTCAGACTAATCTCTCTAAAAGTAATATAACACTATTAGAACTTGCATATACCTTTATATAACCAAGATCAATAGCTTTCATTACCTTTTAAACCTCATATGGAAAAATCTCAAAATGAGATCATTCAACTTAATTCTGCGAGAGACTCGGCAGCCGGCATTAGACAATAAGAAAAGGTTCTTCTCCCTCGAGGCCCACCACTACTCGAAGGTGTTCATCCTGAATATCTTCATACAAATACTCATATTCCTTAGTCAATGATGCATCCCCATCATGTTAAGACAACGAACTTGCTGATACATCAAACTCTACCCATCCTTCATGGATCGTTTAATAAGCATTTGAATACCTTAAAGATACCATAATTTGGTGATCTTGGGCTCATTGGATTCATCTCATTGAATTTCTCTATTCAGCTATAAGCATGTCATGTTTGGAAATCTTTGATCATCCAATTTATGGTTTGAACTTTCCAAATGCACTGCGGGTTTTCGATTTGGACCCATTTGGTTTCGGATTGAAACAAATTTGGTGTCGTTGGGTTTGTATTTTCGAGACATTCAGTTCGACTATAAATTGCTAAAATCAGAGTTCAGATGATCACAAATTTAATTTTGAAAATTTCCAACTTGATTTTGCCTTGAAATTCATATCCGATCAAGATAATTTTTTACTGATATATCAAGCCTGAATAAATATTTTTATTTCTATTCAATCTAATATTTTATAAATGTTTAGATTGAATATATTTTAATTATTCTGTATTTATAAATTATATGAATTAAAAAAAATATTTTTTTTTTAAATAATGAATCGTTTTCAATGCAAGAACCGCAAAGGTTGCAACCCACGCACACGTGCCAAATGTTTAATTTATAAGAGGCTCCGCACATAGGAAGAAAAACAGAAAACCTTCGGAGCACGACCTCTTCGTCCCCCGCGATGTGCGATCTCGTCCTTCTCCTAATTACAATTGTTCATATAATAGTCAGCACTCGCGTCTCCGCCGCAAAGGGCCGCAGAAGCTCCCTATTCTTAGAACTCGCTCCTCTTCTCCACTTCTGTTTTAACGAAACGCCAATCCGATCTGATCTTTGTTCGATCTCTCTGCCCCGAAATCGGTTCGGCATCTGGCTCGATCGGATGCGACTGAAGGGAGAAGAAGGAGGCGGCGGCGGCGGAGAGTAGCTAATGGGGGGAGGAGAGGAGGGGATTGAGATGCTGATGACGGTGCGAGAGTTGTCGGCGAATGGCCGATCGGTGAACGCGTCGGAGATCGAGGCGATGCTTGATGAGGGCAAAATCGAGGATGCAGAGTCCTTGCTCCGCGAGAGCCTTGCACTCAATTTCGAGGTTTGAATTATTTTGAAACGGTTTTTTGTTTTATTGAAATGTTCATAAGAGACTGAAAGACCAATGTCATTTTGCCGCCCGATCTCTATTGTCAGAGGTTTCCTTGTGGGCTTCATGTTTCGAAGTTGGATATGGATAGACGGAGCAACTTTTGGGACACAATTCGGATTATGGATCATGTGGGAGTGTTATTGAAATTTCTCGAATATTGGATAAAGCACAAATCTTTATGAATTTTACAATTCTCAAAGTAAATCCAATGGAAAAAAGAACAATCCCTCTTGTGCGTTATTGTGTCAAAACATTTTAGAGTTAGGACATAGAGGACGCGACCCACCCCTCAGATATGAATGAAGATAGCTGATTCAAGGCCTAATGGTAAATTTTTAATTCAGCTAAATGAAATAACGCTTAGGAAATAAGATTTGACATGATGTAAATAATGTTTTGATTTTTTAAATTGAGAATAATTCCTATCTTGTTTGCTATTGCAATCTATAGTTTGATAGATAAATGTGCATGACATGCTGAGGAATATCTTTTGCAAAATCACTTACTAATAAAAAAGCTTCAGAAAATATCACAGCTAGTTCACTTACAAATAAAAAAGTAAATAAAATTTTATGAAATGTACAGTAAAATGCATGAAGTTGGAGTTGGACTGCCTGAAAGTCATTGCTTGAACAGTAATAGACCTTGCCTTTGCCTATGGAAAAGAACCTCATGACTAACTCTCCTTACTGTAACAAGGGTAAGCCCTTTTTATACTTTAATACATCCACCAACGCTGTTTCAGACAAAATAGAAATGTCTTCTAATCACTGGCACCAAAATCTTATGTACACTTGGCGTTTACTTACCAAAAAAATATCTTTGTGCATGTCAAACAAAAAAACAAATACTAATCACTCCTGCCATGATATTTGATGCAGAATTGATGTACACCTTTGAAAAGAAAAAAAATGTATGGGTTTTGGTTTTTAATTTTGAAGCATTGGTAACTGGAATTGTAATTGCTTGAGAGTTATTTTCACGTGAATGCAGTACTACCATCTCCAAGCGTACATCTATGAAGTTTACTAGGATTATCTTTGACGCACAGTAAATTGAAAATCAAGAAAATTAAGACAGCCTTTGTCTTTTGTGATTGTTGCGTGAAGGAATTACTTGGTCGATTGTCTGATAGTTAGACAGTGAAGTATTGTAGATGCTCCTCTTTTTCTCATTGGACGAGCAGTGTAGACTCTGTTAAGCTTTCTTTTGTGGAAGCTATTGAGATTATCTTCTTAATTTCAAAGCTTCTGTCTCACTAAATTTGGTGTTTACTTTTTCATGTGAAGAAGACCCTAAAAAAAGAAAACTAATTAGCTGAATCAAATTCCATCGCATCAGATGGATATAATATCCCAAAACTTGGTGCAAATGGTGGATGTGAACAATAGGAGTAGCGTCTGGGACTCTGAACTGCTGAACCTTCCTAAGTTTTTAATCTCGACATTGCAATGGTAAGCATTACAGACTGAGTTCTGTTGTGTTACACAATGACTGCCTGAGATGTTTAAAGGATAGAGGGAGATGAAATATGTTATATCAAGAGATCCATCTCAATTTGGCAGCTTAATTCATCTGGAAAAGTGGACATAAAAGTGATTTCTATTTTCATTTTTTTTTTCCGAAGTGGCAAATTTTGCATGGATAAGAAGCATTTAACTATCAAACAAGAATATTAGATTAGTTGGTAGCACTCCACTCTATTTCTTTCTAAAGTCCAATATACATCAATATTCACCGCTTTAACCAAAATTTTTTGTCATAGTAATCTTATTGGCCCTTTGTGTTAGGGATTATTGATCAAAGGGAATAAAAATTAGGCCCAATATTTAAGTGGCAAACTCATTTTCATTAAAAAAAATTATGTATATAGGAGTACGCAAATCACTTGATATTTTAGATGAGATTGAGAACATGGGATTTTTTTCAAGATTAAAAATGAATTTTTATGAGTTTTGATGTGCTTTATGGATCTACAACATTAGATTTTAGATTTGTTAAGCTGTGGTTTTATTTGATCACCCAAGGAAAATTTTTGAAATTTGTTGATAGATTGAGTTTATGGTCTATCTTTTTGAGATTCCCTGGCCCTTGGAAATGAATTCTTTTTTTTTTAGGTGTTGTAATTTGGAGCTAATTGAATCTCTAATTTTGGGATTTTGTCTTTGATTCAGGAAAAAAATGGCGTTTGTGATATGAAGAGCTAGTTCCTTCTAAAGGTTTTATATTACCAGATTCCTTTTGGTTAATAAACTACGAGTTATTGTCTTCATGGAAAGATTGAAAAATCATAAATCACTCATGCTTTATTTCTTTATTTTAAATTCTTGAACATCATTAGCTCTTTCGTTATCATTTCTTTATGATATTATATGAGGATTATATGTAGGGAATCAATTAAACCGCATATGGTTACTATTTGAACATTAGATCATTAAAAGATCTATGAGTTAGTGTCTGTTGAAATTTTAATGGTTTGATTTCTCCATGAAAACTCAAATACTGTCTCAAGGTGGAGTCCATAAGTATCTTAAGATAGTCATTCGAATATCGAGACCCCAGTAATTGGCCTGTTGAATCAATATTATGATCTCAGCAAATTAGGATAACTTTGAATTTTTAATCTTGTTTGCGTAAGCTTATTTTTGAATTTCTAATATAGGATTAGGATAATTTCCGTTGGAATTGTTTTTTAATATTGAACTCATCTTGATTGTTATTATAAATAAGTTTTTTTTCTCTTTTGATGGAGTTTATTCAGGTTTTGAATGCATCAATCACTGTTGAATTACCTATTTATAATCTCAATATTCTTCAGAAAATCAATTACCTATTTATAAGCTCAATATTCTGCAGAAAATCAATCAGAAATTCTTCCCAAATAAATCTTCCTTTTCACGTAGATTTCCCCTGTCAAATTCACTCCTTTGGGACTGTCCCTATAGCTGTATTTTCGAACTGAAGACCCTTCCCTTGCTGCCGTTTTTTGTTCTCTGTTTTGTTGCTGTTGTTCCCTAGCTGCTGCCATGTATCTACCCTTTGAATCACGGGAAATTATTAGGTCTGGACACCAGACGTAGAGATACGTCCGGACTCCAATAAAATATTGACATGTGGAATGTACACGTGTCCGCAAAATTTTAAGTCAAGCGCACCAAAAGCGCAGGTAAAGCACAGTGAAAGCGCAGTCAAAGCACAATCAAAAAGCGCAGTCAAAGTACATTCAAAGTGCAGTCCACGTGGCAAATTTTAAGTGGATATCCAGAGTTATGTTTAGGTCCGGTGTTCGGACCTAATAATTTCCCCTGAATCACGGTGCTGCCCTCTGCTCCCAGCTGCTAATTGCTCTTTCTGCTTACTACTCTTTCTTAATTGCTGGCTGCTGCCCTGTTATTTTCTAATACCGTTGCCGCTGTTTTTTACATTCACATTCCATATTTTGCAAACACTGACGGTCATACAGGAGGAAGAAACCAGATCTATCTTTGCTTTTTGTTTGGCAAAACAAAGATAGAGAAGCACAGATTTGAAGGAAAATCATTCAAAACAATAGGGAAACTTGCTATCCACAGAAATAACAAGGCAATACCAGAAAGAGGCAGGCTAGCATGAAAATTAAATTAAAACGGTTGCTTGAGTGATCATGATGGCAAGTGTAATGTGCAAAATTTTACTCACATGTCATTCATAAATCTATTCTGATTAACTTTAAATTGTTTCATCTAACTTTTTTATCACTAAAATTTCTTCAACGTTTGACAACCTTGTATTTGCATGTTTGTAGACTTTCTGTGATTGACCAACTTGTTCTGACTTCTGAGTCTAATGAGAATTTTACGGCTTCCAAAACATTACAGGAGGCAAGGGCCCTTATTGGGAGGCTCGAATACCAGAGAGGCAACATAGAAGCAGCACTTAGAGTATTTTATGGAATAGATCTTGGAGCTGCGATAGAGCGCCTGCAACATTCTTTATCTGAGAAGCTTTCCTCAAGGAGAGCTCGTTCTCGTGGTGAATCATTGCACATGAATTCGCAGACTGGTACCATTCTTGTTCTTGAAGCAATATATTTGAAAGCTGCGTCTCTGCAAAAGATTGGCAAAGCCAATGGTATTTGAAGATCTATATCTTTCCATTATGTTTACTGATTAAAATTTTGACATTTTGTGTGTTTGTTTTTTATCCAATTCCATATACATGATATTTCTTTTCCCTCTTATGTTGTAGAAGGACCTTAGTTATTGATGGTTATCTTCTTGGTGGATACAGATGCTGCTCAGGAATGTAATTATTTACTTGATGCTGTGGAGAAGATGTTTCAGAATGGTGCTCCTGAACTTTTGGCTGACATTAAGTTGCAAGAAACCATTAGTAAGGCTGTAGAGCTACTTCCAGAACTATGGAAACAAGCTGGAAAGATTAAAGAGTCTCTCGCCGCTTACCGGCGAGCTCTTCTTAATCAATGGAATCTGGATGATGAGAGCTGTGCAAGGATACAAAAAAGATTTGTAGTACTACTGTTATATGGTGGGGTAGAAGCCGGTCCTGCAAGCTTGGTTACACAAAATGATGGTATGTTCATACCGGAGAATAATACTGAAGAGGCCATTTTACTTTTATTGATGCTATTAAGGAAATGGCACCTTGGCAAGATCCAAAAGGATCCTTCTGTGATGGAGCATCTTACTTATGCACTCTGTATATGTGATCAAACTTCTTTGCTAGCAAAACTGTTTGAAGAACTTGAACCTGGAACATATCTTCGCAGCGATAGATGGACTACTTTGGCTTTTTGTTATAGTGGAGCTGGACAGGGCATGGCTGCCTTGAATTTGTTGAGGAAGATCATAAACAAGCATGAAAGACCAAATGACATTTTGGCATTATTATTAGCTGCTAAGATTTGCAGCAAGGATTGCCTTCTTGCTTCCGAGGGGGTAGGATATGCACGGAGGGCTGTAGAAAATGCACAGGGAGTTAATGCGCATCTAAAAAGTGGAGCTCTTCATTTTCAAGGGATTTGTTTCAGCAAACAAGCCAAAGGTGCTTCCTCAGATCTTGAAAGATCAAGTTTGCAAGCGGAAGCCTTGAAGTCTTTAGAAGAGGCAATTGTTTATGACCGAAATAATCCTGATCTTATATATGACCTTGGCCTTGAATATGCAGAACACCATAATATGAATGCTGCATTGAAATGTGCAAAGGAGTTCATTGATGCTACAGGTGGATCGATACCGCAAGGATGGCGATTGCTTGCATTGATTTTATCTGCGCAGCAACGGTACACAGAAGCTGAAGTTGTCATAGATGCAGCATTGGACGAGACTGCAAAGTTGGAGCAATTGCAGTTACTTGGAATAAAAGCAAAACTAAAAGTTGCTCAATCTTTGCATTTGGATGCAGTAGAAACATACCGAATCCTGCTTGCTCTTATTCAATCCGAAAGAAAGTCATCTGGACCACCCACAACTAGTTCTCAGGTTTGAATAATAAATGTCCCTACCAGATTCTCATATTTTTTTATCCCAATTATTTGGGATTGGCTATGCAAAGCATTGATTATCTAGTTTTTTTCATGTAGATTGTTGATTATAAGTCCAACGAATTTGAGATCTGGCAAGGTCTCGCAAATCTGTACTCTAAACTTTCTCACTGGAAGGACGCTGAAATATGCTTAGAGAAGGCCAGGGAATTGCAGCCTTATTCTGCTTCTCCACTACTAACTGAAGGTAACCTTGAAGCCTGAGGCTGCTGTTAGAACTTCGATTAAACATGAATTCTTCCATCTTTAAAGAAGCGATTGACCAGGTTGCATGTATGAAGCACTTGGTGAGGCAAATCTAGCAATGGCAGCCTACAGCAATGCTCTACAAATTGATGGTAGCCATGCATCTTGCAAGGTAGCAATTGGTGCTCTTCTATGGAAGTCTGGCTCCAAATCACTTGCTGCAGCAAGATCATTCCTTTCTGATGCTTTGAGGCTCGAACCGACTCATCGTATGGCCTGGTATTACTTAGGCATGGTCCATAAGCATGATGAGAGATTCAGTGATGCTGCAGATTGCTTCCAGGCGGCTTCATTGCTAGAACAATCTGAACCTGTTGAGAGCTTCAGTTCTCTTTCATAAGCCATATAGTTTCTGGCTAATCTATTTATTTACTTTATATCAATGAAATCAATATTTTTTTAACTAGTTCACAAGGTGTTATGATCATTGGCATCATTCAAATAAGTTTCAAAGCAAGATGAAGCAGGTAATTACCTGGCTATTTGATATTTTATGTGAGATAATTTCCTTTATATCAAAGTGTTTTTGAGGATCCCATTGCGTTGCTGAACTCCTACTGAAGCTCAATAGGTCTTATAGGAAGCTCACTTGTTGATGATCAATTGAAATTGCTTCGATCCTAATACACTTCCAAAAAATTCACTTAATAATCACAAATCTTGAGGTGATATTCAAATTAAAAATCTTCAAAATTAAATTTAAAATCATCTAAACTACGCTTTAACAAACTTATAATCGAGTTGAATGTCTCGCTAAGACAAATTCATCGATATTACAAATGATTCGATTTGAGTCCAAATGATAAATCAAGCCCTTGAAGCATGTTCAAAAAAATTTTAATATTAATTGAAGGCCCGCCAGAAATTAAAAGAGAGTCACACAAATAGCAATCAGCTGAACGGGTTTGGGCCTACAATGAAGGCTATCAGTGATATTGGGGTTCGGCTTCCCGACCAGCAGCGTCAGCTGCAAATGATGGAGGGTGGCACCGAGATCAGCTTCGCGGTGTGAGCAGAGTAGGATGGCGATGGAGAAATGAGGAAGAAGATCGGCTAGTATGAAGAATAAGTGGAGTGTTTCGAGGAAAAGGGAATATATTATAGCTGAATATTTTAAGATAAGTTAGATCATTATGAGCCTTTGAAAGCGTGCCTAGCTCCATCTGCTGCACCTTCTACAACAAACAATTCCCACTCATGATTGAAGTTCTCTGCTCTTAGTCCTTCACTGTCACCTTTCAGCTAAGCTCATCTACACCGTCCAAGCCATCTGCTTGCTTCAGGACTTTTACTGATGTTAAAAGCTAAGGCTATATATATATATATAACATAATATAGAAAATTTAAAGCAAGGATAACTATAGACCTATAACTTCAAACATCAATAAAATTGGTAATTAATTATATTTCTGAATAATCACATGAATTTTATTATTATATTTTTTTTTGGAAAAATTTGGGGCCTAAGTCCATTTCATTCCAACAAAAAGAATACAGTAAGAAGATTGACTACTACCACAACCAATCAGTAGTAGTCAACAAAACTATCAGCATAAAAAGGCTGCATAACAAAGGAAAACCTATTACATACTATCAGCCATAGCTGCAGAAAAAACAGTAACAGAAATAGAGCCACTCAACATACTAAACATACTAAACAAAGATACAGAACTGCAGAGACAAAACTGGCAAAATGACAAATAGATCAGGTACCGCCAAAAAGAGCTCCCAAGCCTGTATAAACCTGGACTCAGATTTTACAGAAAGAAATCGCTGCGCAGACATTGTTCCCTGGTTGCCTGTAGACCATCCAAGGGAACCTAAGAACGGGAGCTTCATCATCGTCCATGAAGGCTTTGTGATATCGAATGCAGCGACGGGCCAGTGAGAAAAACCAGGCAGTAAGAAACCTGCCAGCTTACAATAATTCCAAAATTTCCAGAGAATTCTCCCATAAAGCTAACATAAACAGAGGAATACATATAACAGAGGAGTAATCCAAAAAAAGCTGTCCAGCAAGACATATCAATAAAAATTCCGCAGCTGATCACCATCACACCATTTGGAAACCTTAGAAATAATAGCTTTTTTTATCTTAAGCCTAGTCGTGGAGGAGCTAGAGGCAGACATGGCAAATCTCCTATCATTCCTTTCTCTTCAAACATAGTAAACCGTACAGCAAATGGTAATTAAATATAGCTTTTTAGTTTGAGAAGAGAAGTTATGGTTATCATTCACCCAGTCAAAAAGCTGCAACATATTGGGTCTAAGAAGAATAGAGGCACATTCAGACATAAGAGCAGTAATAATGGAATGCGAGAAGGTGCAATCAAAAAACAGGTGGGATGAGCTCTAAGGAAAACAGTGGCAAAGGGAGCAAACCAAATCCACTGCAATATTTCAGTGGTGAAGTTCCATAGCAGTTTTAAGACCTCCCACCAACGTTAACCAGGTATAAACCGAGAATCTCAACGAGTGTTTCTTATGCCAGATAAAACCTTCCCAATTACATGCAGGAAAATATTTGTAAAAATCAGAAATGAAATCTTTGAATTTGACATTGCCACCAGTAGGCCAAACTAATCTTTCAGAATTGGTATCAAGTATGCTAACACTAAAAATAGCATTAGAAATTTCAGCAGGGAGGGTAGGGGAAAATGCCAGAGCCCATCAGAAGTAATAAAATTACTCACAGAGTAATCAACGTAATTAGCATAAATCGGGAAAATATCCACCAAACGTCTGTTATTGCACCAATAGTCCCAGAGTAAGGAGAAAGGGGCAGTAGGGGTGACATTGAGAATCCATTTCTCCTTAGTAGCTTCAGCTGTACAGCAAATAGATTTCCAGATTTTGGTTGCCTTAGAATGAACCAGTTTCCAGAGAGAAGAATAAATCTTAAGAAACCAATCAGCAAGGGGGGAGAATCTATTATAAATTCTATGATATCCAGATTTATATATAGCCCCGTAGCCTTGGTGAAACAGTTAATAATTTGCATTAAATGTCTACAATTGTAGGAAAAAGCTTCACCAAATACAAGTAAGTCATCAGCATAGAGGAGATGACTAAACCTAAAATTCTTGAAGTGGGCACCAACAAAAAGATTATCATCTAGAATCGAGGAAAATGCATCCATAGCAATACAAAAAAGATAAGGACTTAGGGGACATCCCTGCCTTAACCCAGCCGATGACGAAAAGTACCCTTCAAGAGCCTCTTTAATCACAATAGAGAAATTGACATAAAAAATGCAACCTTTAACCCAAGTAATAAACAAAGGTGGAAAGCCCTTTTGATGAAGCCTCGCTAAAATAAACTCCCTGGAGACAGTATCAAATGCTTTACGGATGTCAAATTTGGCACAAAATAAATTTTTCTTCCCTTTAGCAGCAAAAGAGAGAATCTCTTGGGCAAGAATAATATTGTCTATGGAAATTCTAGTTTTAATAAAATCAGACTGAGTATCTTTTACAATAGAAGGCATGGTGGACTTTAGCCTATTAGCAATAATTTTAGATATAACTTTATAAATCATTGCATAAATCCATGGGCCTAAAGTCAGCAAAAGAGGCTGCATGCTTATTTTTGGGAATCAATGCAAGAGCCACAGCCTTAATACCCGCAGACATTTTACCAAAAATAAAAAAGGATTTAACAGCCTTACAGACCAGGGGCCTGATGATGTGCCAACTCCTTTTATAGAAATGAAAGTTAAATCCGTCAGGACTGGGAGTAGACGAAGCCTTGCCCTCAAAAACCGCTTTCCTAATTTCATCATCAAAGACAAAAATGGTGAGAGTGTCAGCAATAGAAGAATGTAGAGTATTACCAGCAGGGAAGAGCTCCATATTTAATTCCACAATAGGAGGAGGGTTGTAAAGATCCTGAAAGTGATTAATAATTCCAGAGATAGCATCAGCTCTTAAAAGATTAGAGGAGCAGCCCAGGTTAACCACATCATTACTGTTTGCCCTCCTACGACGAATCTTAGCATAGAGAAACTTAATATCATCCTCCCCCTAAGAGAGCCAATAAGCCTAGCTCTCTGAATAATCCAAGAGACGTGAAGGGAGGTGAATTTAGAAATTTAATTGTTGGTATCTTTCAGCTTGCTATTGAGAGACACATTAAGAGGATCAGCAGAGATTTGCTCTAAACAAAGAAGTTGATAACGATGAAGGGAATCCAGGTGATCTTGAATAGCCTTAGCATTAGTCCAGGGCTCTAGCTTGAGCCTTCTCTTGAGAACCCGAAGTTTAGAACAGAAATCAGCCAAATGATTACCAACTTGAGTAGCAGAGAAAACATCAAGCAGAATGTACCAGAAACCGTCAAGAGAAGTCCAGAAGTTTTTGAAGAGAAAACGGTGGTGGGAGGAGATATCATCAGAAGAGTGAAGAATAAGGGGGCAATGGTCAGAACAGGATGGAGCTTGCACCGAGTAATAAGTGTTAGGGAAAGAAGTGTACCACTTCTCATTGACCAAAACTCTGTCAAGTTTAATATGAAAGGGTTGTTGGTGCGTTGATTAAACCAGGTGTAAGTATTTCCCACCGAATTTAATTCCTCAAGATTAGCATAAAAAATAACAGAGTTTAATTCGCCTAAGTTGCTGTGGGATAAGGCATTACCACCCAATTTATCAGTGGCAAATCTACAGCAATTCAGATCACCCATAATAAGTTGATCAAATCCCAGAGAGGAATGCGACCCTCTCTATCATTCTCAGCATAAATAACCGATAAAGTAAAGGGGGAATAGGCAGGACCATCCACAATACCCGAAATGAGCTGAGGAGTGATGATAGAGGGAGTAAAGTTAAGTTTGGAAGAATTCCACTCAATCCAAATCCGGCCAGGACTAGCCGAGTTAAAATTGTGGCAGGATTGCTCAGCAGGGAAAATAACGTGAGAGTTAGATAAGAAGGGGTTGAGAAGGGTAGATGGGAGAATTATGTCCTCCAAAATACACAACAAATCCAATTTGAAAGAAGAAATCAAACGCTTACAGCAAAAAATCTTGTCTGAACTGTTAAAGCCTCTAATGTTTCAGCAGGCTAAAGACGGCACATACATGGTTAGCGTTTGAAAGTAGGGGCCTTTTTGGCTTGCTTCCCCTTAGCATTCTTACTTTGCTTACCCGATTGTGTATGAACTTTCTCCTTTTCTTTAACCCGAGCTGAGGTATCAGTATCCAAAGAAGCACCATCAACTGAATTGTCTTGGTCTTCCTCAAATAGATGCAGAGCATCAAATTTGTTGGGAGAATGAACTTTAGGGGATGAGGACTTGAAGGAAGGCAAGGAGGTGGAGGTTGAAGAAGAAGTGGAATCTTGAGGGGAATTTAGGTTTGGTATATTATTGACTGGAGGATCCGCAAGGGGTATGATGGTAGTAGGAGGATTATGTGGAGGTAGAGGAATGCTGGAATTAGGGAGAGTTGATTATAATGCTATAAGTAGCATGAATTGAGGGCAATGAAATGCACACATCAGATATAATCGATTGAAGGGGTGGGAGAAGTAGTAGAAAATGAACTTTGGGGAGTAGTTCAATTTTTTTAAAAAAAAATTGGTATAATTATATTTTTTTCTAACTATTTTACATATTAAAATTTTAAAAATAGATTGAGAGTAATTTTAAAATCATTAATTTGTGCCCCCACTAAAAAAAAATTCTGGCTCCGCCCCTGGCTGGTTCACTCCAGCTTCTCCTTTGACAGTTTTCTTGACAACCAGGAGACCTGATGCATATAACATCTGCTGGGTGTTTACATTTTGTATTGCATTTTGAGTCTTTTTGGCCTCTTTGGCGACTGGATTTTGTTTTACCCGATACTAATCTTTTTGTTAGTCATTGGATTTTTCTTTACTCTTGTAATTCTTTTTTTTAATAGAATGGGCTAAGGCCCCAAATTTCTCAAAAAAAAAATTCACTAATATTTCGTGATATAAATGCAAATCATTCTAAAGCGTACTTCTTTTTTTTTGGGAATATTTGGGGCCATAGCCCATTTCATATAATGTAAAAAGAGTTACATAAGAAAAATTGACAGCCACCACAACCTACCAGTGGCTGTCAACAAAACCATATCAGCCACAAAAAATGCTGCAGAATAAAAGAGAGCTAGACTAAACTATCAGCATAAAGCTGCAGAAAAACCAAGAAATACAGACAATAAAGGGTGCAGAAAAGAGAAGTGAATATTAATAAAAAGGGCTCAGGTTGCAATTCTCAAGTTAAACTCCCAAGCGTCAAAATTCATCCAGTCGGATGATTGGGTCCCCTGGTTGCCGAAGAGACCATCCAAGGGGATAAAAATAATGTTGCATTCATCATTGCCCTTCAAAACCATGTTGCCCGGTTGCCTAAGCAGGCCATCCAGGTAACCAAAACAGTCCAGATGATAAACCTCCGCAGTCCTAAAGAGGCAGCCCAGTAGCTCAAAGCTATTCATTTCAGCCAATGATGTAAATTTTGAAAGCATTTCTTTTTCAAAATCTTAAGCAGAACAGCTCTTTTAATGTTGCCAGTAACAGTGGTTTGACATTCAATAATATTCCCAAAAAGCCTGTCATTTCTAGCCTTCCAGATGAAATAAACAATAGCAGTTAGCAAGATATAGCAAAGGCTTTTCCGACTGGAATCCATTTCCCATTCCTCAATGTTGTTATAAACTTTCCACAGATTTGGTCTAAAAAGCATGTAACTCATCTGAGGAAGAGTATTTAGAAGAATATTATAGGAAAAATCACATTCAAACAAAAGATGTTTAAGATTTTCCTTGTCAGTCTTGCAAAAAACACATTCAGGAGATGCCGAAATACCCCTGGAAATCAGAGCATCTGCAGTTTTAAGCCCATTCCTAAAAGCCATCCAAGAGTATATAGAGAAACGGGTAGCATGATGTTTAAACCAAATAAAATTAGACCACTGTACAGTTTCCAGATCCTGAAAAAACTTCTTTTGAAAAGTGTGGAAAGAAGGTTTGCCATTGCTAATCCAGCTAGAAACCACCGTGTTACTAGAGATTGGTACAGAATAAATCAAAGCATCCAAATTCGGAGGGATAGAGGAAGGTAAAGACCAAATGCCAGCTGAAAAACAGGCACTAACAGAAAGATCTAAATAGGGAATTAAATCTTCCATATTATCATTAATCAGCCTTTCAGCGACAAAGAGATCCTTACACCAAGGATCCCAATAAAAAGATAGCTTACTGTAGGCAGTGATATTAAGAGTCAGGTTTTGTCTAAAAGATTTTGCAATATCACAAAGATAATGCTAGTAAGATGAGCTCTTAGGGGTCCTGAAATTCCAAAAAGAATGATACTTGGCCTTCCACCAGTTAAACAGTAAGCCATCATTGTTAAAGAATCTCCAAATAGTTTTGCAACCAAAAGCATAATATAACGAATCAATAGTATGAATACCCAATCCTCCAGCGGTTTTAGGTTTATATGTATCTTTCCAAGAAATCATGTGAAGTTTCTTCTTGTGAATGTCACCATAAAACAAAAACCGAGAACAGAAGCTGTTAATTTTCTTGATGCAGGTTTTAGGGATTAAGGAGCCTCTCACACAATAACTAATAATATTGAAAATGGTGTATTTCAAAAATTGTAAACGACCCGCAATAGATAGTGATTTTGCTTTCCAGCCATCAAGGGAGGTCATAATTCTAACCATAAGTGGTTGAAAATCAGAAATTTTGATCTTCTTGCTAAAAATAGGAATACTAAGATATTTGACAGGAGGAACAATTATTACGTCCTCTAACCTGACATAGAGGTACGTTCGGCCGCCAATAACATGTCGCCACGTGGTCTTACTCTTTACCTTGCGGCCCGACGACTTGACCCGGAGTGGAACCCAGGAATGTTATGTTCGTGATTTTCTCGGTATTGCTCGGTATTGCTTTGCAAAAACGAGAAATACCGCTCTGTGAAGACCAAAACTATACAAATACCGAGTTGTACCGAGTTTTTCTACAACTCGGTACAACTCGGTATTTGCTCAGGATTTGCTCGGTATTGCTAGGGATGTGCTCGGTATTGCTAGGTATTTGCTCGATATTGCGAGAAAAAACTAGGTACAACTCGGTACAACTCAGTATTTGCTCAGGATTTGCTCGGTATTGCTAAGGATTTGCTCGGTATTGCTAGGTATTTGCTCGGTATTGCTAGAAAAAACTAGGAACAACTCGGTACAACTCAGTATTTGCTCGGTATTGCTAAGGATTTGCTCGGTATTGCTAGGTATTTGCTCAGTATTGCTAGAAAAAACTCGGTACAACTCAGTATTTGCTCAGGATTTGCTTGGTATTGCTAGGGATTTGCTCGGTATTGCTAGGTATTTGCTCGGTATTGCTAGAAAAAACTAGGTACAACTCGGTATTTGCTAGGTATTTGAAATATATCGAAAATGTGATGGGATGTTGTTCGGCTCGTCAAGGATTTAAAAAAACGCACGCGCTAGAACCCAAAAAACAGCGGATCGGGTCGGCAACTTTTCTTCATGCTACGTGTCGCTAAAATATTGGTGACCGAACGTAGAGGAGCGTACGTACGTTCACAGAACCAAATAAAAGTTCTTACAGGAGAGCGTACTTCCAAACTCTAATAACTAATTAGGTTAACGTGCTTTTGAAGTTTTCAAAAACAAACATGCACTTGACCAAAACGGAAACTACTTAATCTCATGTAACACGTGCCGAAATACCAATCATGTTACTGTTCTTAAAAATCACACCATGGACCCCACACGGCAACGGTTTTACTCAGACTTCCGCATACGACATATCCGTGGTGGAGAAAGAAGGGGTCCTCAAGTTTCTAACCAAACGCGCACGTGCCAAATGTCAGCATCACCACGCGTGAATTTTGCCCGCATAAAGCGCTGATTGCTTCAACGCTAACCTAGCTCTTCTTCCCCTGGGTACAAAATCGCCGTCCTCTCGTTTCCGGGCTATACAACTATCTTTAAGGGAAAATGGACGAAGAGCTAAGAACTAGGACCTTCACTGAGGCGCCCAGCTTCGTACGAATCGGCGACACCTTGCCGGATTCTCCAATAGTTGAATTGGAAGTCGCCTGCGATGACGATCTACCCATGAATGACTTCGAGTTCTCCTTTACTTTAGACGAATCAGAGCACGACGCCTTGACTACGATCGCCGGAGAGATCAACTCAAAAGGCCAGGTCCTACCTGCTTATCCCGTATTCAACCAAAACCTTGTCGCCGACAGTTCAGAGGCATCACTGGAGCAGGAATTGGTGGAGATGATGGGCCGCGTTGCGCTGCCGTTCGAAAAGCACGACCTCCGCTCGGGTTCAGCATCTTCCTCGTCCTCAATAGATGATCCAACGGAATACTGTGCTTGGACTCCGAGATCTGCCCCCCTAACGCCGGATCGATGGCGTATGAGCCAATCAGTCGGGTCGGAGACGTCGGAGTTTAGGAGGTTCAGGCTCCGGGATTTGATAGTTGGCCGTAGTCGAAGCGATGGGAAGGAGAAACTCATGGTCTACTCGACGGCGGAGAAGGAAATAGGAAGAGGTGGATTTGGCATAATCCCTTGTCACAGTGCGACGACAGCAAAGAAGGTTAAGCAGGAGATGGGGAAGGGGAAGGGGAATAGGAAGGAAAAGGAAAAATGTAGGGAGGTGAAAGAGATGGATGTGGTCACTGCTCACCGGATATATTACGGGAAGGGTGCTGTCGTCGGTCGCCGGAGCTTCTTACCTTACCGGCCAGGATTACTTGGAGGATTTTTTGGCCATGGGTTAAATTCCCCATTCTAGATTCGATTTATTCTTCTTCTTCTTCTTTTTCGTTTTGACTTTTGAGTATGTGGATTTTTATTTTCTGAAAATTGAAGATATCGCCTGTCCATAAGGATTGATTAATTTCGTATTTTGTATTTTTTTTGGAAAATTAATGTCATAGCCTGTCTTCATTCATATAATGCAAAAAAAAAAAATTTGGAAAATTAATGTCATAGCGTGTCTTCATTCATATAATGAAAAAAAAAATTTTTTTGAGAAATTTATGGGCAGATGTCCATGAATTAAAAATGCAAAATCATATACAATTAAAAACCTATAAACCTATGAAGAAAAAACAGTATGAAAGAACCTCAAAACAAACAAGGGCTACAAACAACAAGGGTGTGAGATCTCGTTCCCTTACTGTTCCTCTCTGAATTGGATTTTCCTCCTAGGATCGTCCAAGACGATGTTGAGATCGTCCAGGCCGATCAGTGCATTGAAAACAGCTGATTTCTGGAGTGTTTCTGGAATGATTTCTGGACTGGATCGTCCAGAACGATTTTGGATCGTCCTGAAGACAGGCACAAAGGTCATCCAATATGACCCACCAGCAAAGAAAACAAAACTTCCAGCCAATGGGGCCTGGTCATCATATTCCCATCAAAAAACATCATCCAATATAGCAGAATCAAGGACATTAAATCAAAACAGCACAACATATTTCTCTTTAACCAATTCCACATTCTTCCAACTCTTCATTTTTCCTCTAATGGTCACTCTAATAACATCAACCACCGCCATCAGGGCCAACCAAGTATTAGAGAAACGTCGCACGGTTGTTTCTTTCCCTCCAAAGATGATACAAGGTGCACGCAATGACAAAGAAACAAAAGTTTTTCTCTAATTTGTTGAAAGCAAACTCATAATCCAAAAAAATTGTATGCTTGAGAAAGATTTGGCCTAAATAAAAACCTTTTAAACACCGGGAGAACAGCAAAGAGAATCGTAAACTAGAAATCACAATCGAAGAAAATATGATGGTGAGCTTCTGGCCGGAAATTCCTGCATAAGGAGCAAGCAGCCGAAACCTAAATGCCCTTCCTGATGAGGACGTCAGCACATTTGAGCTTCTCAAGCATAGCTGTATATTGTTATGGTTCTTTTGGTCATCTGGTTCTGGCTGTATGTAAGGATGATATTGGGGTTTTCCTATTATGTATTGATGTTGCCTTTCTCATGTATGGTCTTCATTTTAGCTGTCCTGGATTGTTTCTTCTCTATTTTCTTTGTGCTTCTTGTGTCTATCCTAGGGTGTTGCTGTCAGCTTTATAATTTTACCTTTGCTAATGTTTTAGAACTGCTGCTGCATGTTTGATGTGTTACTATCTTCCTCTTCTATCGGTGGAACATGTATCAATTCATATCTGTTCTTTTTAATTCCTATTGACATTATACTATTAAATTATCATTTTTCTTTTTCTTTTTTTATTTCTATGTTATTATGTGCAATATTTTGTTTTGCAGCCTTGAATTTGTGCAAGTGTATCAATTTAATCAATTTTTGCAGAAGATTGCACTTAATGAGTTTAATATGATCTTTCTTAATTTTTTGGTGCTCACTCTTAGTCGCTCTAGAATTTTTCTAATTTTACTAAGAATTTTTCTAATTTTTCTTAGAAGGGACTTTTGGCTCATAGGTTTTTTTTATTAGTTGTGTAACTCTTTTAAGCATTAGTGGACTGATGGTATCCCTTAAGGACCTTGTAATCTCTTTTTTAATTTACACGTAGGCCGATCTATATGTTTTAACAAAAAAAAAATGATTTTTAATAAATCATTAAAAATTAAAATTAAATCGTAATATCTAAAGTAAATCTCAATCAACTTTAAATTCATAAACCCTTATAGGAAAATTAAAAGGCCTTTTAGATAATAAAAAATTAAAAATAATCAAATATTAAAGAAATTTAATAAATAAATAAATAAAATAATTCAAATTAAAAATAAATTTCAAAATGGCTTCAAACTCTTGTAATAATATTAAAGGTCACTATTGACATCTACG